TTAAGAAGAGTCTAAAACATGCAGCATTTCCAGGTGTAATCACGATGTTGAGTACTGTCCCGGGACAAGAATGAGAACGCTACCAGCTCAAGATCTGCCTTCTGATGGATGGGGATAAGTACTTGTCCATTATTGATCCAATTGAGAAATTTAATGGTGTACAAACAATGTAAGGGATTATGATACATTTTCAAACTTTATTTGAAACAGTGTGTTAAAGTAATGGTAATAAATTACTATGCTGGATGAACATGGATTATGGCTATTTAAGAACCTATGAAAAAATGTACTAGTAACTTCAGAGCAAATTTATCATTGAATTATTTCTGAAAGCTGATGACTGCATACACAAATTAAATATTATGATTTTCTTAAAATGCATTGTTATAATGTAAATTTTGTATAAAATGGGACTATTGTGGACCTCACCAAGAAGGTTTATTACTAGAACTTGACTGAAAATGGAAATAAAGTCACAGAAATCTCCTATTTAATTGTAGACAAACATGGATGTTTATTTACTTTAATAGTTAATTCACCAAGGCTAATGCTATGGAATAGAACCACTTCAAAATAATATGGAACAGAGCCTACTTCAAAATAATAAATGGTGAATAAATTATTTTGAAGATCAGCAACATGCCAATTTGAGTTCAGGTGCAACTTGTAGGTGGAGGATTTGCAGACAGAAAACCACCACTAGAGTCCTGCTAGAGGGGCTAATCTGTTGAGAGAAAAATGAGCTTCTGTGGAAGCAAATAAATGCCTCATACTTGTCTTTAAAAGTGTAACATGCACCACTATAAAACTGAAAACTAATGGTTATAGCAGCTGCTGTTTCAACCTCAGAAGCTGTGACAGTAATGAAAACATTATACCAATGTCTAGTCCAATAAAACTCTTGTTTTACTTTGTTTTGTGTGGGTGGACAAATAAAGTAATAGTAGCGAAGAAAGAGAAGTTCATCACTTTAGCCTAAACACACTGTGTAAATTTATTGTTTATTTGTTGAGATAAGATATTAATAATAACTTAAAAATGACCTAAAGGAGTTCTACAGTTCATTACTCATGGCAAATAAAAATAAATACTCAACCTTATGAACTTTTTAAGCTGAAAATCCAAGATACTTGTAGAATGGGAAATGGACAGAGATGATGGTTTAAATTTTCAGTGGCATGCCCAAGTCATGAGTGTAGGTAGAAAGCCATGCTGAATATTATCAATTTGTTGGGGTAGAAATGACACCTTTAATGTTAATTTTATAGCTAACATTACAAAATAAGACTGATCATAGATATCTTTGAGTCTCAATGTGAGCCTGAGGACTATTTTAGAGAAATATATTCTACCTCTATGATGGAGTTTGTGTGCAATATTATAAGACTCAAAAGTAAACTTAAACTTTTATCCTCAAATAGAGATATTTATTTTAAAGAGACCTTTAAGAAAATTGAACATCGACATTCAAGACTGAAGTTAACAAAGCATTCTGCAATACTTACAAACGTGAAATAAGCAGTTATAACTAAACTTTTATTTAAAAAGCTGCCTCATCACTATCAAAACATGCATATCGGTAAGAAAACAGTGGTATGAATAACATGTCCTTTTACACTACAATTATGTGTAAAATTACCTACAGGAATTGCTCTCCCATTACTTTGCCTTCTCCATAAAGAAGTTAAGTCTAGAGATCTTTTAGTTTGTTCTGGTCTTTTCTCTTCCTTCAGGAACTTCCATTAGTACACAACCAGCTAGGTATCTTCCTGCTAGAAATGAAGTTGTGACAGGCAGTCTTCAGTACCAGCTTAGCCAGTTTTCCCTAGTCTTAAAATTTGATTCAGCCTTAGTTTAGGCTTAATTTCACAGCTGCACCCAGTGGTTCACATACACACGTGAATAACTTAATTCTTTGTATAGTTCTTAGAATGTCCATCACAAAAACTTAGAAATACATTGAGAAAACCCCTAAAACAATGTAGAATATATTTTGCACTTTTTGTTTATCCTCTAATCTTGTGGTCTTACTAATCATGATATTATTGGTTGCAAAGGAAATGAAAATAACAGCCCACAATATTCTATATGATTTATGAAAGGTTAAGATACCATATATGAAAACTGAGAACTCCCCTACCGCAAACACATTTTGGATTTTTTGCATGTCAGTAATGAAGTTCACTTTTCACACTTTTCACCACCTTTCCAGTTGGAACATATAAAATTTATGACCTCTGATCCCTCATACATTAATGATGTATTGAACTAAGTTAACCCTTATAAAGTTCATAGAAGTGCAAATGTGGTCTAGAACAACACTGTTTGATAGAAATTTCTATGATGGAAATGTTGTGTATCTACACTTTCCAACAGAGTAGCCACTAGCCACATGTAGCCATCAAGCCTTTCAAATGTGGCTTGTGTGACTAAGGAACTGATTTTTCAATTGTATTTAATTTTAATTAATTTAAAGTTAAATAGCCGCATGTATTGGATTAGCACAGGTCTAACAGACTCTTCGAACATTCAAGTAAATGTTGGAAATGGAAGGTCCATTATAGGAAATCTAGGAATCTTAAATTCTCACCATTGGGTTTAAAACTCTGTCATTCCTTCAGTATAAATTTTTCCAAAAGTTTCATATTTTCAAAAGATAAAACTTAAACCAACCAAATCCTTTAGGGTGCTTTTCTGTATGAATCATCTTTTTGCAAAGAGGTGTAAGACTGATTTTATTGCCAACTCTGCCCCCTCTTCTACAGCCAGAACTCAGTGATTAGATTCTGCATTTATTTAGGTTATTCGCCTAAAAAACCTGGTTTCCATACTGCAAATAAATGACAGGAACTTTTCCACTAGATTATCCCAGACAGCACAAATGTTCTTTCCAAAAGTGGAGCCTGGAACCACAGCCCCCTCACATTGCCTGTTACATCTGTTTATGCTTATAGAAGTGACATCTACTTCATAGACAGAGAATGCCAATTTCTTGGGAAAGGACCCAGAATTTGGTGATGCTTAAAGGAAAAAAAAAAAAAGCCCTTACTGCTTAAAATTAAAAAAATACATAGAAAAATACATAGAATTGAGTAGTTACAAAATCCTTTTGAAATGAAAAGATTTTGCTCCCAGAATATATAGAATCTGTGTACAGACTTGCTGGGTTCATATTCAGCCATAATCATTCACTATTAATAGCCAATAAAGAAGTGGGTAAGTTACAAAACCTAAACCTTAGTTTTTCCATCAGTGAAATGGGGCTAAAAATCGTTATGTTGGGAAAACTTGTGAAAGACTTTGAAATGAGCAAAAGATTACTGTTTGTCCTTTCAATGGAATGTTGGATGTTATCTACAGGACTCCGGAGTGTTGTGAAATTTAGAGTCCTCTGCACCTTTCTTAGACTGACTTTCACTAGGCTATTTTACTACTCAGTAAGCTGTAGATACGTTTGGTAATGTAAATGAGTTTTATCTACAGAATGCAAATTTGTTACTTTACAGATACAACTGGTTACCGCCCTGTAAAACAGATAATAATACACATTACATTTCAGTGCTCTATAGAATATTAAGCGGCTTTGCCTCTTCTTGTCTCTATACCTATTCTTCACAGTCTCACATGAGTGGGTTGCGGTATCTTGCTGGGGTTCCCTTTCTAATTAAAAGAGTTATAAAATTTTGACCCATGTTCATTTTGTATTTCTACCATTGTCATGTTTTTACCTTCTTGAAAAATTATTCTTTAAGAGTTCCTGCTACCTAGGCTTTTTGGAAGGATTGGTTTAAAGATCTGTATTGACAGTCATGATCAGTTTTATATTTTGCAGGAAGGTGGTAACACTTCCGGTACTTGGGGGTGTAAGAGGGAGTACTGAGCGTTTAGAAAAGGGCGGAGGGGTGGGGTGAGCTGAAAAACTCTCCCTAGACAGGAAAGGTAGAAGACCTCCTCATCCCTTTCTCTTTGGCAGTGGGACTTTAAGGTCAAGGTAAGTAGTAGGCCAGGCGCAGTGGCTTAGGTGAAGGCCACACCAGACTTGGGCCTACGTCTTGGCCTTCCAGGCCAGCAGAGTGGCCTGGGATTTGGATGCCTTGGGGTCACGGAGTTAACTGCAGACTCAGACTAAGTGGGGCTCCAGCAGCGGTCAGCCCCAGAACCAAGTTCCGGAGCCAACACCCAAACAGGAAGGGGCCTTGCCCCAGGCCAGAGAGGCCCCTCGCCCACGGCCGAGGGGGTGGGGCGGCCTCGCCTCGGGCCGGTGCTTTTCGCCCTTCCTTGGCCGCCAGAGGCTCCCTCTCTCTCCCTCTCCCGGGATTTTGCTGCCGGGCTCCCTCTCTCTGCGGCCCTAGAGTTAATCCCATCAGCCGAGGTGAGGCACCTGTTACCCCCTGGTCTTCCTCACCCCCGCGGCCTCGCCTCCATTACACCGCGGCCTCCCCGGCTGCCCAAACGGCCCGGCTTGGCGACCGCACGTGGGCCAAACCCCTTCTTCTGCCGGCACCCCTGGCCCCAGGCCGGTCCGAGCATGCGGGCGCGTAGCTGCCCGGGCCGCCGCCCGCCCGCAATGGCGTTGGGGAGCGCAGCGCGCCTCCCGGGGCCGCCCGCCGCGGGCAGGGAGCGCGTGGGGGCCGAGGCGCGAGTGGAAGCGGCCGCCGCAGCCGCCCAGCGCGCTGCGCCGTGAAGAGCGGGTTGCGGTGTACACAGCGGGCCGGCGCCGTGCCGTGCCGCCGCGGCCACCGTGGGGCGGGGGGCGCCTGCGAGGAGAGGGTGGGAGCCGTGGCGGCCCGACCCTCCCCGCCCGCGGCGCTCCCGCTCGGGTAAGGGGGAGGCTGAGCGCGGGGCGAGGAGTTGGGGAGGGTGGAGAGGAGGAAAAAATCGGCTTGTACAAAGGCTGAGTTGCAGGCTGGGGGTGGGGGTGGGTTGTGGTGGAGGAGCAATAGGTTGAAGATCGGAGGCATTATCAGTGGGATCTATTGTTTCCTGGCACATTGGGAGGAAAAACAAAGGGATTTATTTTCATTACCCTGTAATTTTTTTTTCTTTTCTATTTTTTTAAATGTGGCCAGGGAGCTCGTCTCTCTCCGTGTCACACTGGGATCCGCCTGGCAGCCGCCGGGAGCCGCAGCCAATGTGTTAGGACTTCAGGTGCTTCTTGGCACAAAGCTAGACTGCGACCTCCTACCATAGCGCTTGGCGTCACCTGCTCTCCCGGTCCTGCCCCAGGGCCGAGGGATTGCGTCCCGAACCGGGCTTGGGAATCGGCTGCCTCTCAAGTTGGTGTTATTTATGTTTGTCTTTTGTGAGGGCAGGTTTTGAATCCCCCGGCGGCCCCATCTCCCCCGCCCCCGCCTCCTCGGGTTGGAATTGGCGGGGGAGGGAATGGGGTGTGTGTGTAGGGGAGAGGGGAGGGTGTTTGTGGCTTTAAAAAGAATGGTCAGGGTAAAAGGAGATTGTCGATGCTTTACAAAAAAAGGAAAAACAGGCACCGCACTCCAAAGCCTTTCTTGTTTGTCTGCATGGGCCATGCATGCGTGCTGGGCCATGAGCCGAGTTTGGAGACGTTTTAAGTGAAAGTGTGTGCCTCCTCAGCTGTTTGTACGTGAGGGTGATGTGGCTCGGTCTAACATCAAAACAAAACAAAAATAAAATGAGAAATCTTTAGAACTGCCTGCATTGTCTGCTCTTCAGCATATCTTGAAGTATTTGATTGCTGGCTTATTGATATAAAATCCTGCTGTGGGCTTAAGGAGACCAGCAAGCGTGCATTGCGTAGCGTTTTGAACTGTAGTAAGTTAGAGGCAAGAAAGAATAAACAAATCAGGGCTGTGAAAAGGGGTGTCACAATATATTTGCTTTCTGATTGTCACATTCTTACGCATTTATTCCCATGGTAGTCTGCATCCCACTCCATAATTAATAATAACCACTGTTAGGAAACTTCCAAATACTTGTTATAACTGAATTTAATGAAACTTATTGCCATTCAGGAACTTTTTTTCCTCCTTGTTTTGGTCTGAAATTGCATTAGTATTGCTTTGGGGATGCTGTAGATGAGAATATTGGACCAGAAAAAGTAAAATATGCCTCTGTAGGCATGTTTTGGAGTTTGTAAACATAGATTCCAAACTTAATTGTACCTAAAAAGAGTAAGTTCCAACTAATTGTGGAGAATCCTGAATGAAGTTGATTTTCTGGACAGTTTGTTGATTTCTTAAAGATCGATGAACTGCTGGTTTCTTTTTAAAGGGCATTCACAAAAGTGACTAAAACTTGGTCTAAAGTATTGCTTTCAAATATACTTATGTGTAACTTGTATTTGTGAGTGTGTGTGTGTGTTTGAGATTTTGATAGGTATCTCCAAATTGTGTTTGAAACATTTTTTACCAAAGACAATCAGAATGATAACTTACTGACTTTTAACTTCCCGTTTCAATGAGTAAGCTCTTCTGTTTGCCACGTGGCTAAGCCATTTGGAAAATAAAATGTATGTTATTTGATTAGATATAAATTCAAGTAAGTAAATGAATTCAGAAATTCATTCTTTTCTATTTCAGATGAACCTCTAGTCTTGCTTTGAAAAAACCATTCTCTGTAACTCTTGACTGTTACTAAGTTCCTAATACACCTGTTGGCACAATTGCTAACACAGTATACCATTTGAGAGGTACTTTTCTTGACCCAATACTGGTGATTAGAGAAGACAGGTATCTTGGTTTTTTGTTTTTTCTTTGATCATTATGAACATTGGCTTTTCACCCCTGAAGTGAAAATGTTGAAAACTGAGTCTTCAGGTGAACGAACAACTCTCAGAAGTGCCTCTCCTCACAGGAATGCATATCGAACTGAGTTCCAGGCACTGAAAAGTACCTTTGACAAACCCAAGTCAGATGGGGAACAAAAAACAAAAGAAGGTGAGGGCTCCCAGCAGAGCAGGGGGAGGAAATATGGCTCCAATGTCAACAGAATTAAAAACCTATTTATGCAGATGGGTATGGAACCCAACGAGAATGCTGCAGTCATTGCCAAAACAAGGGGGAAAGGTGGACATTCATCTCCTCAGAGAAGAATGAAGCCCAAAGAATTTCTGGAGAAAACAGATGGCTCAGTTGTTAAGTTGGAGTCCTCTGTTTCTGAACGAATTAGTAGATTTGACACAATGTACGATGGCCCTTCATATTCCAAATTCACTGAGACTCGGAAGATGTTTGAGAGAAGTGTGCATGAATCAGGGCAAAACAACCGCTATTCCCCAAAGAAAGAGAAAGCTGGAGGGAGTGAACCTCAGGATGAATGGGGAGGTTCCAAGTCCAACAGAGGCAGTACTGATTCCTTGGACAGCCTTAGCTCCCGAACTGAGGCTGTCTCCCCAACTGTGAGTCAACTGAGTGCAGTATTTGAGAACACTGATTCTCCCAGTGCCATCATTTCTGAGAAGGCTGAGAACAATGAATACTCAGTGACTGGGCATTATCCTTTGAATTTACCATCTGTTACTGTTACAAATCTTGACACCTTTGGCCACCTTAAGGATTCTAATTCCTGGTCTCCTTCAAACAAGCAAGGTGTTGATACAGAGGATGCTCACAAGAGTAATATAACTCTAGTACCAGAAGTGGCTTCTAAAAGTACCTCTCTAGCTTCGATACCTGGTGAAGAGATCCAGCAGAGCAAGGAACCCGAGGACTCCACATCTAACCAACAGACTCCCGACAGCATTGACAAAGACGGTCCTGAAGAACCTTGTGCTGAAAGTAAGGCAATGCCAAAGTCTGAAATCCCTTCACCACAAAGCCAACTGTTAGAAGATGCTGAAACTAATTTGCTTGAAAGTGAGGCAGCAAAGCAACAGAGGAAAGAACTTGCAGGTGGTGATTTCACCTCTCCTGATGCTTCTGCATCCAGTTGTGGAAAAGAAGTACCCGAAGATTCAAACAGTTTTGATAGTTCCCATGTGTACATGCACAGTGACTATAATGTGTATAGGGTGAGATCCAGGTATAATTCAGACTGGGGAGAGACCGGCACTGAGCAGGATGAGGAGGAAGATAGTGATGAGAACAATTACTATCAGCCTGATATGGAATACTCGGAAATCGTTGGATTGCCAGAAGAAGAAGAAATCCCAGCAAATAGGAAAATTAAGTTTAGTAGTGCCCCTATTAAGGTAAGTGTATTTTCTCCATTTGTTTTCAAATTTGTTTTTAGTACTAGGGCCTAATTGTATGTAGAATAGACTTGACAATTAGTAGGAGTTTTTGTAAGGGATTCAAGATTGTTGATATACACCTGTTGTCAGGTGATTTTAAAAGTTTGGAGTTTGAGAGATATCAATTACATTTCTTAAATGTGCTTTATAAGGGCATCCACCAATAGTGAGTAATATTAAAGCTGAAGAAGTTCGGGGATTGTGAGATACATTCCAGTGAACTGGAGTATGAGTAATATGAGTACCGAAAACCAGGAGTGTTAGTTAGAAATGTAATTACTTTAGTTTTACCTAAAATTATTCATAAATAATATCTTCTGAATGTGCACACTTTAAGGTATGAAGTATAATGTACAATGGGAGAGTTATGATAATCTGGGAATAATACTTGATTTACTTTCTTAAAAAATATGAATTATTACTTAAGTGTAACTGGATTGTGGGGAATTTTGTTGGAACTCTTTTTTTGGGTACTGCTACTTGGTGGTCAAAATTTAATTTGTGGAAATATATTAACTGACTTAAATACTTTGAAAAGCTTTGACTGTAAACACTTTGAGTTCAAAATTCGTTACATAGCTTTAAAATGAATTTTTTTGAAAGAAATAACATTGATTTGCCATTCATGGATTTATTTTTACCTCTTAAAAACTGGGTAAATGACAATTGAATTCACATGCTCTAATGACTTCACTTAGTTAACATTTGATATGGAAGAATAGCACAAAGTACATCAGCAGTGGGTGGTGGAATGTTATTAGCGGATAATGGCAATAGGGGCAGGAGGTGGTTGGTTGAGTATCAGAATCTCCTGGGGTGCTTTTTCAAAGTATACTTGCTCACAGCTTAGTCCTGAGATTCTGGCATGCTCTCCTTGGGGGAATCTGGAAGGTTATGGTGCAGAACGGTAGTTTTAGACCACATTCTAGGGGCTTCTAGCTTACACAGTGTGTATATATGATAGACTTGGAATCTGATACATTTCTGTAAATTTTCTCCTCAAAAATCTAAAATCACTGTTATTTTCATTTTAGGACCTTCCATATAAGGCTCTAAAATATAAATTTACATAGAAATATTTAAAGAGAAATCTGACATTGTTCTGATTATGAAAGACTATTCTGAAATATAGTAATAATCTATGAAATTATTTACAGATGTTAGCAGGCAAACTTTCATTTTATTAGTGTAAGGCAGAAGTTCTGGGTCAGAATGGGTCATGTTAAGTTAAACTGTAGTTTAAAATAAACTACAGATGTCAATCCAGTTTGAAAGTAAGTTTCTTTGCAGTGCTTTACCACCTTCCTTTGTGATTCTCTGTCTCCTGCCTTCCTACCCCTCCCAATGCCCTCTGCCCTACTCTAGATGGTCTTTAAAGCAGCCTTTCCCCCAAGCCTATCCAGTGAGCTCCTAAACTTCGCCATTCACATCCCCTTTGAACATCATCTTTCTACCCCTTAGGAAGAAAGCAATAAGATTAAATCGTTTCACATTGAGAAAGGCAGGAATAACTGAAATGAACTCTTCAAGGAGTTTGTTAAACCCAGTGACTAAGTTTTTAATATGGAGGATAGCAGCTTATGAAAATTTATCAAGTAGAACACTACCCCGTCAGCCAAGTGGGATACCAGCCTGTATTTGGGTCCTGTGCTGCACAAAACGTAACTGTGCACTAGTAGGTTTAATGGATTTTAAAGTATTTATCATTGAAATATGTCTGTTTATATGTGAACAAACCTGCTTTTTGGGAATGACATTTTGAAGTTCAACTAATTTTTGCTATGATTGCTGATAATAAGTATTTTGCCTCTTAATTTTCATATAATGACAATTTTGTATAGCAAAGAATGCAACATTATTTACATTTAACACATTTTATCAAGAATAAGATTTGTAAAACAAATTAGATCAAGCATAAGATTTGTGAAACAAAAGTAATGTATTGCATTTTACTGGGCAGTTAACAGGACTACTTGGAGTAGATTAAGTTTGCAAACAGAAGATTCATTCTTAGTCCTTTGTAATGAATAAGACAATTGCTCTTTCTTGCTGCTTCCATTGTTTAATATGCAAGTTGATTCACTTGGAAAATTTGAGAGCTGCTTTCTACTGGTCATGGTGGTGGTCTTAGTGTTTAGGTTATTCCCCAATTAAGATTTTTTTTTGCCTCAGAGGGTGGTAATACCTAATTAGATCCAATTAAAGTATTTATTGAAGGCTTATCATGTGTGTTCTCTCATGCTGTTAGCTGAAGAAGACACAAAAATCTGTAAGGTTACCCCTTTCCTCTGTGAGTTTGTAGACTCAATTCTTAAACACATTGTATTTAGAATCCATAAAAAACAGTATAAAAATCTATGCCTAAATGTTTAATGTCCTGTGAGTCCTTTAATGGCACTGGGTTGTACTAAATGCATATAGAGAAAGGGATTTGATAGATTATTTGGAAAGGAATACACGCAACCATTTTCTATCTGTGTTTCTTTATTCTTTTCATAAAGCTTTATTTATGGAATGGGAAATTACAGTTTCTAACCTAAGTCTTTTCCTTTGAAGCTTAAACATACTTCCTCTTAAAGAAGCAATAGGGAATGTATTATTTAAATAAATGATTTTTAGAACTTTTACATTCTTTTCCTGTCACTTTATTCTATACTAGGTTAAAAATTCCCAGCAGCTTTAGTTTTTTGTTATAGATCTTATTTATCATCTTTGTATGTGCAATATTGTCCGCAGTGACTACTTCAGTTCTTTTTATAGATGTTTTACGTAGATATTTCCGTAAGATGTCTTAAATCTGGACGTAGAAAAACATCAGAATAATAGTTGATCTTTCCTGTGCAGCATATACCTTGTACTCGAACATGTACCTTGACTTTTAAAAATGGTCGGACTGTATTGCCAGCTGTCAGTATGACTTTTCTATCTTTCATAGATAGTTATATCTTATTGGATAGATTGATATGTTTCATAGGGTTATGAAATATTAGAATGGAATTAATAATAGCAAATTAAGATCCAACTTTGAGATACGGAATGGGAGAATGTTATGAACCATGCTAATTCAAGATGGAATTATGCCTTCATTCTCAGGAATTTTTCAAAATGAAAGGATTGAATTAAAGTAAATTTGTCTCAGATGAATCAAAACAAGAGAGGGTGACGTGTCATTTTTTCTACTAATTCAGAACATTTACGGAGCCCCTAATATGTGTCAGGGACAATGCAAATATAACAAATACATAAAATGAGGAGCTGATGAAGTCAGGAGCTGCTGGTAGGTGGGAAGTGTACAGCCCATTAAGGAAGCTCTCAGGCTGTTCCCAACTCTGTGCTTTGATGATCTTTCTAAGGTTGCTGCAGCCTCATTAAGGAAGTCACAACCTTTCTCTGTTTCTTATGTCCTTTGGATTGGTATTTTTTTGCCCTCAAATACTATTGTGTTACAGTGGATTGTTATCCTTGAAACAGCATATCTGAAAAAGATTTTTCTAACTCCCAGTAAGAAGGACATTACAGAGTTAATATTGAGGTACATTGTGCTATATTGTGAGTGTTTTCTCAACTCATATGGAGCTTTACAGGACTGGAGTTCAAATAATCAGCAAGGGTACCAGAGCTTCAAACCTTACATAATAGTTGTTGAAAATGGATCTTCTTGTATTCTCTCCTTCTTTTGGGGCTCCGAGTCATTGTTAGGGCGTTCATGGATATATGAAGTTTTTTTGTTCAAGATTGTTTTCAGAGAATAGTTCTGTTGAGATCCAACTTTTTGTCTTTGCAGAGGCTTCCCTTTATAACAGTTTTGTCATTGCTTCTTAAACTTTAATATGCATATGAATCACTTGGGAGATCTTGTTAGCATGGAGATTCTGATTCAGTAGGTATTCTGTGGGAAATTACCTGGATACAATGGTTGGGCTCCAAGTACACCACCAGGCAAGCTATCTCAGAGGTTATGGAATAGAAGACTCAGAAAACAAGTTAAAATGCTTGAATCACATGATTTACCAAACCAGTTAAACACAAATCCTGAGGCAAGAGGAAAGCTATGGAGTAAGTTAATGCAGTTCAAACCAGGCTGGAAGGACCACACTACCTGTGTCCTGGGTAAACAATATTCCTATGTCCCATCTTTCTTTCACATAACCGTTCCCCATTAATGACGTGGTTATGAGGACCAGAGCTGATATTTGAACCAAGACTCCATAGACTAATGATTTCCTGGGTCGATGATACACACTTGTTCTATTGAAAAGATGTGACAAATACACTTAGGTACAGCCATAGCTTTGCTAGTTTGCCTGCTCATGAGCCATGGGACCATCCTTGGTGTCTTCAGTAGATGACTGACGTGGAAGTAATGTAGCTGTCAGTCCAGGCATAATGGTGACTTGGTATTTCCATTGCTTTTTGTCTATACGTAAACCTCATTCATTTTATCATAATTTCTATTTATTTTATTGTTGTCATGTCTTACTCCCAGCTTACCTATTTATTACGCATCTGTTGACTGCCTTCATTTCACCAGCTTCCATTCTCATTATCAATACTTGGCCCAGCCTGAGTGTTGCCTCTGTCTCATAAGTTACTAGTTTATATACCATCTATGATTGTCACTTCTTAAGCATTTCATCCATCCCATTTGTTTACCTCTATAATAGAATTTCATATTCTGAAATAATATAGGAAAACTACATAACAGTATGTCTGGGGGGGACCTTAAGATTTTGCATTTCTAACAAGTTCTCAAGTGGTGCTGATGTCGCTGATCAAGAGATCACTCTTTGGAATATTAATCTGAAGTACAATCTTCTAGCTTCTGAAAGTGGCTGGTCATAAAATGTTAGGAAAGCAACATTTAATAAATTTCCTTTCCAGATGGGGCTGCTATAGCTGGCTGGGTGGAATAATATTCTCTGAAGATGAAATAAGGTGTAATCTTGTAAAGTGCATGA